ATACCCTTAATTGGAGCAGCGGCTACAGTTATTACAGAAATAATTGATATATATCATACAGCACAGTATAATAAAAAAATTTGTAATTCAATATTAGATAGAGCAAGGTTAGCAGAAATTGCGATTGATAACATAATTCGTAGGAGGAAAGAAAATGAACAACTTTTTAAAAATCAAGCGTGGTATTACGCATTCAATAGATTTGTTGAAGTTTTAAATAAACTCAAGAATTTTGCCGAGGAAATTTCGCAATTAAAAAGGATTAAACAATTTATTAAGGCTAAAAATATTTCAGGAAGTTTTGTTGAACTCACAAAAGAATATGATGATGTAATGAAAGACTTAAATTTTACTATGGCTATTTCTAACGAACAACAACGTCGGATTGATCAAAAAAGTTTAAAAGATGATCTGGTCGAGACCTCTAAGGTTTGTTAATTATAAACTTCAATAATATGACAATAAGAATGATGATGTTATTTATTAAAATTTATTTCGATTTCAAAAAAACAAATAGTTTCTCGAAAAAATTGATGTTGGTGTTGAAGAAAGTCAAGTCCATCTAGTCCTCATATATGAAGAAATTGGAAATTTGGTTAATATGGTAAAACGTTTAGATCGCAAGTCACCCGATGACAACAGTATTCAAGTAAAAAAGATAGAATCAAGTCAATTAAAAGATCCGGATGTAGGAAGAGAGCGCGATACACGCGGCAATAATTCACGTAAAGTAAAAAGACAAATATATATGAATGCTATTGAAGTAGCCCTTAAGCCTATTAAAGTTCCTAAAGATGCTATGGAAAAACGTAAATTTGAACGTCAGCTTGCTATTCAAATTAAAGCTTCTCAATCACCAAATGCTATTCGATTTTTTGGGCTTACAGAGATTCTTAGTGAGACATATATGATTCTAGAATGGGCCCAACTTGGAAGCTTAAAAGAAATGTATGAAATAAAACAAAACAAAATACCCTTGGAATTGAAGGTGCATTGATTTTTTTTTTATTATTTTCTCAATATTTTTCGACTTTACGTTTAAACTTGACGCGTATTTTATATTTTCATAGTTAACTTATGCACTTCAAATTTGTCGAGGCATCGCGTATTTAAACGCATCAGGTAGGTCTGAATGATATATGATTTATTCATAATAAGATGCAATTAAATATCTAAGATCTTTTTGCGAATGCAGATGTATTTCATCATGATTTGAGATGCAAAAACATAATGGTATGTATAACAATAATTTTTTTCAGACCAAAATCGATAAAAATATCAACTAAATTGATGTTTTATTAAAGGTAACCGAAAACAACGTCGCAAAACTAGCAAACTTCAAAATTTCACGTAATATGACTGATACAACCACAACGATTAACTCTTATCTTGAAGGCGCTCGTTGGCTTGCTCCTGAAAAATTAAAGGAACAAACGACCCCTTATAATCACAAATGTGAAATTTACAGTTTTGGAATGCTTTTATGGGAATTAGCTTTTGAACAAATGCCATATAAAGATATGGAAATTCATATAGCTTCAGATTATGTGATTAATGGTGGTAGACCAAGTATTAATTTTAATAAGTTTAATAATGAACTTTTACCTTTATCTCCTGAAATGCTCCAACTCCAAGAAGGTTATGAAAAGATCATTAGAGAAGGTAAATTATTATTACGTTGTAACATTTGTTTGATGTTCATTTCAATTTGATTCTAAATAGAATGATTTCACTTTATTGAAGCCTGGAATCAAGATCCTGATCTTCGTATAACTATTTCGAAGTTATTGATTGATTTAGATAGTTTGGTTTCAAAACATACGAAGCCTGGCTGTTCTCCAAGTCTTCAACCTCAAAATGGATCAGAACTCGGTCTATCTTTTGAATTAGAAAGTTCAAGTAATGATGACGAATTTCCTGAATTTAGTTTTGAAGTGTTGGAAGAAATCGAACCATTAATTCCAATTAATGAAGGTATAAAAGCTCATAGAGAAAAAGATTATCAAAAAGCATGGAGATGTTTCGACAAACAAGCAGAAAATCAAAACACTCGAGGGAAATATTGGAAAGCCCACTACTTGTGGGAAGGGAATTTCGTTCAAAAAGATAAAATAAGTGCTATAAAATTATTTAAAGAAGCTGCCGATGATGGTATCCCCGAAGCCCAACTTCGTTATGCATTTTGTTTGCCTGATAAAGAGATAAGAGAATTAAAACTTAATCCACAAGATTCTATTAAATATTTAAAATTAGCCGCTGAGAATGGTAACGATGTTGCACAATATCATTTAGGTGAGGCTTATCTAAAAGGAAAATTAGGTCTTGAGAAAGATTTAAAAAACGCGATTTATTGTTTTAAAAGATCTGCGTTACGTAGCAATAATAACGCTAAGAAAAAATTACAAGAACTGAAAGATCAAAATATAGATATAGAAGATTAAGAATTCGTTACCTTCGAATTATTTATTTATCACCATCTGGTTCATATTATAATTAATATATTTATTTTTATGATATACTATTACGTGTAATATGATTTTTCTTAAGTTAGTTTGAAGATGACTTTCTTAATATTCTAAATGCATTGAAAATATTACCGCGTAAAATATACTGCGCACACCATTAATATTGTTATATTCCAACTCTTCATTATCTCAATCTATCTAATGGATCTGTTATATCACAATTTTTAAAAGATTGTATAATAATATCATCAGAATTCTTTCCCTTAAATGCTCGATATACTAAAACTACAATATACCGAATATCGAAGATTTCTGCAAATTCATTCATTTTACTATAAAATTTATACACAAGTTTCGTTTTTATCATTTACTGTAATAAAATCTTAAAAAGCTGAGGTCGAATAGCCGAAATAGGATTAAAATATATGTATATGGTAAAAGGATCTAATTTGTCATAAAATTCCATTTTAATAAACCTTAAGTTCAATACTAATATATTTATTTTGAGATTGTTTGTTACCATCCTTATATATTAGTTAAGAAAATATCAATTTTGTTTCTAAGAAAGATCTATATACTAGTGAGAATACTATTTAATTTAATACAAAATAATTATTTTTTTTTAAAATCTTATTACATGTATACTGTATTTTTATATCATAATATCAAAAAATAAAATCTCAAATTTTGGCAAAAGCGTAATAATATGCAAAATTTATTAAATTATTTTTAAAAAGATACATGAAAAAATAAAGAAAAAGAGATAAAGTACATCAAAAAAAAAGAGAAGAAAACTATCTAAAAACTATGAAGACTCAAAGATGACTATAGAATACAAGAAAAGGAAAGGAAACATAGTCCACGTAATAGCCGAAGCGTACGACAAAGCGTAATTACGGGACAGCCGAGGCGTATGTTCCTTTCCGATAGAGTTAATTATGATAATTATAACAAATGTGATAAGAAAAATTATGTTTGCGACTTCTCTGCTCCAGGGTTATGCACACTTTGCGGAATAAACGACGGAGTTTGACTATTTGATCTAGAAGTTCTTCACGGAAGGAATAGTTTGTAAGCGTTCAACATGAAAAATGGAAAAAATTTTGGACGAAATCTTTATAATTAAAAGAAGTATCTGTGAAAAATTCTTAATAATAACAACCGTATGTAACATATGCAGACATGGATGTTTCCATCGTTTAGTTCGTAACATAGATGGTGGTGTTATAATAATAAATTCCCATTTGCAATCAGAAAAGGCAAAGATTCGTAGTGCATCTCCGAATCTTCAAAAAAAAAGAAAAAAACAAAGATCACCTCCGAACTTCTCTTTAAATATTATCTAAGTAGCTTTTATTTTTTTGTCTTTACAACAAATGTCATTGATAAAAAGCAGACAAATATTTAAATATTATCTGTAATTTCAAATCGGGACTCGGCTAAAAATGTTTAATAACCAATCAAAAAAAAATTTTTTAAACTTTAACACTAAACTTTTGATTAGGACAAAATATGAATATAAAAAAAAAAAAGGAATTTGATCAACCGCAGGCCTTGATTCCTTGATTAAAATTTCGAACCTTGAATTTTTTTTTTTCATTCATCTAATATAATTAATTCCTGTTTAATTAGATATATTTATTATTGGAGTAAAATAATCAAAAAAATCTGATCGGCAGGTGATTGTCCGCTATGCTAAAAACAGAAAATAAAACGAGTATAATTTAAATGCAATTAAATAAGATAATATTTTACTATCATTTTACATTCACAAATCATATAAACATGGATCTCAACTGAAGCATTGTAACCATTTACATGTATGTATAGGCTACTTAATTATTTTTCTTCGGTGATGATTATCCATAGTTATTCCTTTTCAAAGATTCACTTTACAGGAACTTTTGTTTAGAAAACAAAATTACTGTGGAATTAAGTGCGATCCTATCTAATAATAGAATGAAGGGTTGAATTTACCATAACAAAAGTTTATTGGTCCCGTATTTCTATCAATGACAGAAAACAACAGCCAGCCAGAGTTTTGCTAATGTTGAAAATTCACCTTATAATATATTCTTGGATGATACAGAAAAAATATTTGGAAGTTTCATTTTATAAGTTAGATCGATCGGCTAAATGATCCCGAATTTCTTGAACAAAAAAAAAACCGGTTTCATTTATGACAGGGATATTTAATCTGTTTATTTGCCCTTTAAATATAAAAAAGATTTTTAAGGTTTGGATTAAATGTAATCTTGATGCATTATGCAAGTATCGCCACGTGACTTTCCAATAAAGTAAACCCAAAAATAAAAAAGTTGTTTATATTTAAAGAGTGTTACGAATATTTTATTTAAAGGCATCGGCTGAAAATAGGACCCTTTTAAAATGATATATCATGTCTAAAAAAAAAAAAAAAATTTTTTTTAGTTTATCGCTTCTTTTGCTTTGATTGTCAATTTTTTTTTTTTTTTTTAAATTTTAACGTATTTGACCTTTTCTTATTATAAAAAAAAAAAAAAAGCTGAGATGATAATGGCTCCCAAACAACAAATTTCGAAATTAATTGTGCTCATTCTAGCTTGTTTCTTCATTGAAAGTATTAATGCTGAAATTAGAGTTATTAACGTCGGTGGTGGAGGTCAGCAAAATTTAAAATTTGACCCACAATTTATTACTGCACATCAAGGAGATATCGTAAGTTGCTTTTATAACTTTTAATTTATTTTTAATTTTATTTTAATTTCTTTAATTTCTTACAATTTTTTTTTTCTCCGTCTTTTTTTTTTTTTTTTTTTTTTTTTTTTTTTTTTTTTTTTTTTTTTTTTTTTTTTTTTTTTCTTTGTTTTTTTTTTTTTGTT